TAAAAACTGCTGGTTGTATTTTAACCCTGCTATTTTGGCTTTCTGCACCTGCTTAAACATAGGGTAGTTACCTCAGCTTCCAGGTGGAGACCTGGAGGCTAAGGCAATTTTCCTGTGCCTGGGACCAGAACTACAGGAGACTGATTCCCACTGACTCAGTAGCTTCAGGGATAGAAACTGTAGATAACCTTTAGAGATTAATCTCTGAGCTCTGCTTCTGTATTATTGGCTATCACTAGATAGGGCCACATTCCAATGTTCCCAGCCATTAGAATTTAGAACAAAGGAAAATTCCTGTGGTTTGGACCTTTAAAAAAAAACTGCCTACACCTGGAACAGTGCAGTCATGTGGACTCCACCTGCGTCTGGTGCTCTTGCTACCATCCTGGCCAGTTTTTCAATAAATCTTTGCCTGCTTTTTTTAATCAATCATCAGCCTCCGGTGGTCTTATTTTGAACCCAGGGTTCGACCCCACAATATTTTACAGGTTTGAATGTGTTTTTATGTTTTCTTTTAAATATATTTTCATTGATTTCAAAGAGGAAGTGAGAGGGAGAGAGAGACAGAAACATCAATGATGAGAAACAACCACCAATTGGCTGCTTCCTGCACACCCCACACTGGGGACCAAGCCCACAACCTTGGCATGAGCCCCCTACTGAAGTCAAACTCAGGACCTTTCAATCCACAGGCCGATGCTCTATTCACTGAGCCAAACCTGCGAGGGTGAATGTGTTTTGTTTTGTTTTATGTTAACAAAGGTCTTGCCTCTAAAAATTGATAGCTGCTGACGGATCAGGTGGTGGGTGCTGACGGTTGGGGTGTCGGTGGCAATTTCTTAAAACAATGAAGTTGGCCACATCAACTGACACTTCCTTTCCTGTGTGACTTGTCTGTGGCATGGAATGCTGTTTGAAAGACGAGTCAGAGGGCCGAAAACCAGGACTACAGGCTTTATTAGAGGAGAAGGACCCCTACCGGGCTGCCTTGCAAAGGTAGAGAGCACGTGTGCAGGGGTGAAGGCGCCTTTTGAGGGAGGAAAGGGAAGGGATGGAGCTTAGGGTACGCAGCACATGCTGATTGGTGGTTTCATATAAGGCACAGGATTAGGCACTTAGGTACTTAGGAATCAGGGGCTTAGGGTATTTGGCAGGCGCTGATTGGTGGTTCAATGTAGTCCATAGAAGGCGCCTGGTTAGGTGCTCAGGAATGCCTAGGCCGCAGGTGCAGTTTACATCACACTCCATCCATCATTGGGGGAAGGGAGGATCTATCACTGTTTTACAAAATTTTACTCACCCTCTTCCCAAATTGCAGTTAGTCCTCTCAAACCTTGCTGCTGCTTTATGAAATAAGCATATGTCACATTCTAAATCCTTTGTTGTCATTTCAGCGATCTTCACATCTTCACCAGTAGATTCCATCACAGGAAATTCCTTTCTTTGCTCATCCATAAGCAGCATCTCCTTATGCATTAAAGTCTGATCATGAGATGCAGCAGTTCGGTCACATCTTCAGGCTCCACTCCTAATTCCTGCTCTCTAGCTGTTTCCATCACATCTGCAGTTACTTCCTCCCCTGAACTCTTGAGCCCCTTAGAGTCGTCCATAAAGGTTGGAATTAATCTCTCACAAACTTCATATAATTTATATTTTGACGTCTTCCTATGAATCATGAATGTTCTTAATAGCATCTAGAATGGTGAATCATTCCTAGAAGGTTTTACCCAGATCCTTTAGAGAAATCACTACCTATGGCAGCTATATATAGCCTTGCAAAATATATTTGTTAAATAAATAATACCTGCTAAGCACAAACAAACAAACAAAAACAGCGAAGTGCGATGAAATGAGGTGTGCCTGTCCTCTGTGATAAAGGAAGGAAATTCTGTCCTCCAAGGCAGACTCCCTTTCAAAAGTGTACAAAGGAGCTCCCTTGGGTCCCTGATTCTAAGATAACCAAGAAAAGAAGGAACAATGGTTGTGCCAAAACAGGCCGTGGCCATGTGCAGCCTATTCACTGCACCAGCTGCACCCAGGGATGAGGTCATTAAGAAGTTTGTCATTCAAGCCCTGGCAGGTGTGGCTCAGGTGGTTGGACATCATCCTGTGCATGGAAAGGTTGCTGGTTTGATTCCCAGTCAGGGCACATGCCCAGGTGTCAGGCTTGATTTCCATCAATGGAGGACATGCAGGAGACAGCCTTCCATTGTTTCACCCTCACATCAATGTTTCTCTTTCTCCCTCTCCCTTTCTCTCTTTCTAAAGATCAACATATAGATAGATTTTTTTTAAAGAAGTTTGTCATTCGAAACACAGTACAGGCCACAGTCCTTAGAGACATTTCCAAAATAAGTATCTTCAATGCTTATGTGCTTCCCAAGCTGTACTCAAAATTACATTACTGTGTGAGTCATGTCATTCACAGCAAGATACAGTAGTCAGGAATCATTCTTGTGATGTCTGGAAGGACAAACACCCCCACACTGAGTTAGCACCCTGCAGATGCTGCCCCATGACCTCCACCAATGCCCATGTAAGGAGTTAAGTCCTTAAAGACTGAAGAAAAGTTCCCAAAATGAAAATTGTACTTAAAAAATAAAATAGAAAGCACTCGAAAGAAATGCTCCAAATGATAATATTGTCAATATTAATTCACAAGAAGAAACACTAGTAAAGTAAGGTGACCAGATTTTAACATCGGTAAAGCAGAGGGTTGGAGGGGGGGTGCGTGTTCTTGATTTAAAATTTGGTCTATATGGAGCAACAAAAATTTTCATAGAATGCAAAAATAGTATTGAACTATCTTTTTTTAAATTTCAACATAAGTACAATTTACAAATATAATAAATAAATAAAAATTATGTATAGTTGTGTTACTTTCAAGGCCAGTGCTAGACTTTTTGCTGCCACTATAAAATATAAATACGAATGCTGTCTGCTAAATTCAAGAAAATTTATTTATGAAATAAATAAATTACGTAAATTATCTGAATAGCTGATTTGTAATGACATCACTTGTTTAACTAGCTTACTAGCACACAGTATGATGTGTATCATCTGAGAGACAGTTACAAAATATTTTCGTCATTGCCAATTCCAAAAAAGTGCCATTGTTCATTAAGTTCAAACAATGGTGGTCAAATTCTAACAACTGATCAACAATGCGAACTTTAATAATCAGTTCTCAACAATTATTTGTTATTATTAAAGTTTAACATTATAAAATTAACAAAAATAATATAAAACTCATATCCTGGCTAAATAGCCACATGGCTGCCAAAAACCATATATACCCTTCCCGTTCTGCCGCCGTTCCCTAGCTTTTTTAAAACGCTGTGGGACATGGGACAAATTATTAAAAATAGGGATTGTCCCACCAAAAGCGTCTGGTCACCTTAATATATATATATATATATATATATATATATATATATATATACACACACACACACACACACACACACACACACACACACACACACTGTGTTCCCCCGAAAATAAAACATCCTCTGAAAATAAGACCTACTTACAGGTTTCCTTCTGAGTGAAATATAAGGCATCCCCCAAAAATAAGGCCCCCCAGGCTCTGTCTCAGAATGAAAATTAATTTACCGTAAACTGGTCGCTAAGGTCATGGAAATTAATGACATTGAAAATAGAATAGAGAGAAATCAGCGTGGAAACTTTGTGAAACCTAAACTGCAAGAAGTTGTGACTTGGGTGAAGAATTCAAGGGAGAAAATCACTGACAGTTGCATTGCAAATGCACTGTGAGCAGGCTACCTTGATAAGACAGTGCTATTGCTAAACATGAGAGATTTAGTCCACTGATTCTGAAAGAAATGGAGTCACGAGAAATTCACCAGGAAATTCAGGAATTGGATTGTTATGATGATGTTCTAGAAGATAATGACATGATTGCCATTGAATAAATGAGTAAATTCTTGATATTGTAGGATTCAGTTTGGTTTGTGTTGACAACTCCCGTACTACCGTACCGTATACAGGTAATAAATTTCCTTTATTTTCATTTAACAATAAATGTGTACCGTATTCTTCTTCATGTTAAAATAAGACATCCCCTGAAAATAAGACCTAGCGCATCTTTGGGAGCAAAAATTAATATATAAGACACTGTCTTATTTTTGGGGAAACAGGGTATAATTAATTCTATTGATTTCAGAGAGGAAGGGAGAGGGAGAGAGAGAAACATCAGTGATGAGAGAGAATCATTGATTGGCTGCCTCCTGCATGCCCCCTATTGGGGATCTAACCCAAAAGTTGGAATGTTTGTTCTGGGACCCTTTCAGTCCCAGGCCAATGCTCTCTCTACTGAGCCAACCCGGCTAGGGCTGAAATAATACTTTTATTTCTTTTTTAAAATATATTTTATTGATTTCTTACAGAGAGGAAGAGAGAGGGATAGAGTTAGAAACATTGATGAGAGAGAATCATCAATCAGCTGCCTCTTGCACACCCCCCACCAGGGATGTGCCCAAAACCAAGATACATGTCCTTGACCAGAATCGAACCTGGGACCCTTCAGTCAGCAGGCTGACGCTCTATCCACTGAGCCAAACGGTTTTGGCTGAAACACTACTTTTAATTTGTCAGATGTAATCTACTGTTTTCTCTCGGGTGGCATTTTATTTCCCCGACCTCCAAATTGATCTCGCGTCCCGCCTGTGGATCGCGTCCCAGAGTTTGAAACAAACCTTTTTTTAAAGAGAGCGCCTCCCTGCCAGGCTTCAAGGTTCGCGCACCCCCAGCCCATCCTTCTCAGGACCAGCCAGCTTCCCGCGCGGCTTTGGTTACCTAGCAATCTAGCAGCTTGCGGCTTTGGTTACCTAGCAACCCAGCAGGCACTTCCGGAACCCCCGGCGGGAGTGGTCCAATCGGCTCGCAGAGTCGCCGCCGCAAAGGCTGACGGGGCGCTGGAGTCGGGGCACCGCCGGCCTCGGCTCCATGGTGACCGGCCGCCGTGGGCTCGGGCAGCGATGGCTCTCGGGTCCGGCTGGGCGGTGGCGGCTGTGGCTGTGCTCCTCCAGGGGGTCCTCCCTCGCGTCTCACAGGCCCAGACCTTCTCGTTCCCTCTCCGGCGGCCAGAGGCCTGCGCCCGCCACCAGTTCTTCGATATCTCCATGCTCACCTGCGCACCGTGCGGAGCCCACCAGAGGCAGGACGCCCGAGGTGAGATGCTGGAGGGCCCCGGCCAAGCTGACACCCAGCACCCCGGCACCCCGCCGCTGGACACCCCTTTTCGTCTGCGGGAGGAGTGTTTCTGGGAAGTTACCCGCCAACGCCAGGGCGGATTTCCTTGGAGGATTGCGGTTTAGGGAACCCCCGCCCCCGAATCCGCTACTTGGCGCCGGGGTTCCCTCCTCCGCAGCCCAGGGCCTGTAGGGAGCACCTGGAAAGCTGCCTAGCGAGAGTAGGAAACAATGGAGAGGTCATCTGAGGTCCAGAGGAGCAGGTGACAGCGCAGGTCAGGGAGGGAATGCAGATTAGCCCTTGGGGACTGTGATCACCGCTTATCTTACCTTTCTTTCTTTAAATATATATTTTATTGATTTTTTTTTTTTTCAGAGAGGAGTGGAGAGAGAGAGAGAGGAATAGAGATTTAGAAACGTCAATGAAAGAGAAACATCGATCAGCTGCCTCCTGCACACCCCCCACTGGGGATGTGCCCGCAACCAAGGTACATGCCCTTGACCGGAATCGAAACTGAGACCCCTCAGTCCACAGGCTGGTGTTCTAGCCACAGAGCCAAACCCGCCAGAGCTATCTTACTTTAAAAAAGTCAGACACTGCTGAAACCGGTTTGGCTCAATGGATAGAGCGTCGGCCTGCGGACTGAAAGGTCCCGGGTTCGATTCCGGTCAAGGGCATGTTCCTTGGTTGCGGGCACATCCCCAGTTGGGGTTGTGCAAGAGACAGCTGATCGATGATTCTCTCTCCATTGATGTTTCTAAATCTATCTCCCTCTCTTCTTCTCTGTTAAAAAAAAAAAAATTAAATAAAAATATATTAATTTAAAAAAAAAAAAAAAAAAAGCCAGACACTTGGAGCTGGGAGGGACCTTACACTCAGGCAGGTCCAGCCCTCTCGTTTAAAAGATAAGAGCATTGCAGTCCAGGTAAGGTTGTAATGTCCTCTCTGCCACCTCAATTGGGGACTGGAAGAGCATGTGTCTTTGCCCTCAGCCTGGACCCTTGTATTTCCGCTATAGCATGCGTCTATAATAGTATAGATTTCCTTAGGACTTATTCCTTTTATTACTGAATATTACTAATTGACCTTAAAGTCTCTTTCAACTAAGCCTAATTTTTATCTGTTTTTTTGCTTGAAACTTAATTTTTAAAAGCTAATGGTCATCATTTGGTCCTGGTTCTCTTCACAGAAACTGCTTAGAATAAGACTTTTCCTATGTTCTAAAGTCTAAGGTTTGTTTGTTTTTGTTTTGATTTTTAATTTATCTTTATTGTTGAAAGTATTACAGATATCTCCCCCTCCTTCTTCACCCCACACCAGCCTCTCCCTGGCCTTCACCACACCATGTGTCCATGGGCTAATGATATATTCATCCTAAGTTCCTCGATTAATCTCTTCCCATCCACATTCTCTCTGAAATTTCTCAGTCTGTTCCATGCTTCTAAATATCTGGATCTATTTTTGGGAGACCAAATCAAGATGGAAAAGTCTACAATGTTTTCAATCTCAATTTGGTCACCCAGGGTATTAAATTTCTGCCATCTTTCATATCCCCATTTAAGTCATCATGTAGGACAGGTCAGGCCACTCAGGTGAGGAGATATCAATGAGAAAGAATTTCACAGCCTCCAAAGTGTCTGGTGTTAGCTTCATAAGTATGAACCCGGATGTATGCATTTTAGTACAAAGATTCCTATGGGTGCTGTTTCCACTACAGGCTTCCTTAGAGAATGATGTCCTTACTTTCCAGCAAATCGAATACTGATTATCTCATGATGTTTACTATCTGTGCAAACAGAAGAATATGGTAATTTATTGGAATAAATGTAACTTTTCTAATAGGTTTTGCTTTGACAAAGTAAATGCAAATTTATTGAATATGCGTGTGTGTTTGGGTGAAGTAGAAATGTGAAATTTCCGTATCCATTAATATTATTAGTTTAATAGTTCAATCATTTATTATGCTTGCACTAAAAATGGTAGCGAACAAAATATCTACTGTATGCCCCACACATTCTAAGACCTTTATATATAGTAACTAATTTAATATTCATACTAACCCCTATGAGGAAAGTATTGCTTTTTTCCACTTTTACCAGAGTAGAAGCCAGAATACAGAAAAGTTCAGTAACTTGCTCAAGATTAGACCCAAAGGGGTATGTTTCTGGATTTGAACCTACTGGCACCAGAGTCTTGCTCTAAACTACTAGACTACTTTTCTAGATCTTAAGAATTATTAAAAGTTTCCCTTTCTTGGAGTTACATTTTTATTTACCAAGGTCAAAATTGGTTCTCTTCTTTTTAGGAACTTCATGTGTGTGTCTACCAGGATTTCAGATGATCTCTAATAATGGAGGAGCAGATATTATTTGTAAAAAGTGCCCAGACGACAAGGTATGAAGTATTTATCTTTAAATAATTTCACTGTGAAAGTAGTAAATTAAACGCATTTTTTAAACTACCATTTAATATGTACACTACTATTTCCCCACCACCTTTAACATTATAAAGCTAACTTTTTTTCTTTTTCTTTTTTTATTTTTTTGCTAGAGTACATTTTGGGAGGTTGGTTAAATTTTATGTAAACTTGGAGTAAATGGGAATCTATTGCTTTGCTTTTTAAAATTTGAAATAAAAACGCCTACAAAAATGTGTGTTTTTACTTTTCCTCATAGAGTAGAGTAATTCAGTTATAAAGAAAAAAAATGAATGATACATATATACAGCAATTTGGAATATGTGTATCCTTTGGTACAAATTGAGTTCAGTGTCTTAGACCTATATTTCAATGTTTTATATAATAATTTATGCTTGTAATGATATTACATTGGTAAGTTCATGAAATGCCAATTTGCATCATTAAATAGGTTAAATAATATCTGTTGCCATTCACTTAGTCATTTCATTAATCATACCTAGAGGCCCAGTGCACGAAATTCACGCACTGGTAGGGTCCCTAGTGCTTGGCTGCTGCCTTCCTCCCTTTCCCCTCCCTTCCCCTGGCCGCCTGCTGCAGGCCAGCCCCGGCCCCTGGTCAAACTCTTTGAAGAACTCCCAGTCAAGGGGACAGTTTGCATACCATATTTTTATTATGTAGGATTTTTGGAAAATTAGGAAGCTAACAGTTATTATATACGATGATTCTTAACAGAAATATATTTTCAATCATTTAAGATAACTAAGAGACTCTGTGTGCTAGTTCTGACTTTTCTACTACTATACCTTCTCATTATCTGTGTTAAAAAAAACAACAAACAAACTTGAATTTGGGATTGTAATATACAGTTACCAGTTGTTCTACTTTATGGCTAGTACTTATAGATTTGATGATAATTTCGATACATACTTTTTACTTTTGAAAATATAGGCCTTATGATAAATAGCCACTATTAGGAAATGATGCCAAAGGAGATTTATTTTTCAATGACATTACTAAGAAGTCATAATTTTTAAGTAGTCTTATATAAATGTGCTGCCAAATATAGGAGCACTTATTAATATATCCAGTTTTTCAACCCAAATTTAAAATAATTGTGGCATTGTTGTTTTTTTTAATTGCCATTGTTCTCTATTAATTTTGGCTACATTCATGTTCGTAATGTAATTACTGTATTTTTGTCTTATATTTTTCCTCAATCATATAATAAGCTTAATTTTGAATGATGTTGTATTTTACTAATATAAACTATAAATGGATAGAAGGAAATAGACTCATAATTTAACAATTTTGTTCACGTAGCATGTACTATACATTACCCCATTTTGAATCATAACTTAATTTTTAAAAGCTGATATATTTGGATTATGAGAGATTAGAATAATTATTTTAAGACAAGTAAAGCTAAACTTAATTGGCTATTCTGTTGAATGTTGTTGTTTTCTCTTTTTAAATGACAAAACTGAATGACAGTATTAATTATAAAAGCAAGAACTCATTTGAACTGAAAATCATGAAGAAAAAAGAACTATTTCCCAGAGTTAATAGTAGCCAATACATAGTTATAAGTGTATATTTTAATTTTGAAATATAAACACAAATAGGCTACACAGGAAATTTTTATGTAGCCTAGATGTATATTATGTATGAGAATAAAAACTACAAATTATACAGTATTGTAGCTTTTGGACTTACATGATCAAAAGGAGGAAGAAGGTGAGGAGAAAATAATTTTTTTTTAATTTAGAAAGGTGTTACCGAAGATGGCTGGAATTGCATTTCTTGTCCTGCTGGTTTAACTGCAGAAGGAAAATGCCAGTGTCCCAGTGGCCACATTTTAGGTAAGAAGTAGATTTCTTATGAAATAGTAACACATCTTCATTTGTGTTTGTTTTTGATACGGGCATTAATTGAAATAGTATGGTGATTTCTTAACAATATCTTTATTACTCTTTTTTCAAAATTTAATGATGTTTGAAACAGCAGCAGGCATTAGGAAGAAGATTAAAAAAAAAAAACCTACCTGATTTTTTTTAAAATATATATTTTATTGAGTTTTTACAGAGAGGAAGAGAGAGGGATAGAAAGCTAGAAACATTGATGAGAGAGAAGTATCGATCCCCTACTGGGGATGTGCCCGCAACCAAGGTACTTGCCCTTGACCGGAATCGAACCCGGGACCTTTTAGTCCAGAGGCCGACGCTCTATCCACTGAGCCAAACCGGTTTTGGCCCTACTGATTTTTAATAATTCTTACTAATGTAAGATTAGATTCCTTAATATAATATGAAAAATATCAAAAGCCAGCATGATGCTTAATAAGGAAAAATAATCATTCCTCTTTTTTTTTTTTTAATATATTTTATTGATTTTTACAGAGAGGAAGGGAGAGGGATAGAGAACTAGAAACATCCATGAGAGAGAAACATAGACCAGCTGCCTCTTGCATGCCCCCTACTGGGGATGTGCCCGCAACCAATATACATGCGGGCACATCCGCGATTCTGGTCAAGGGCATGTACATTGGTTGTGGGCACATCCTTGGTAGCGGGTGTGCAGGAGGCAGCTGGTTGATGGTTCTCTCTCATCAATGTTTCTAACTCTCTATCACTCTCCTTTCCTCTCTGTAAAAAAATCAATAAAATATATATTTTAAAATATTAATTTATTGTTGTGAGGATTTGGAGAATTAGTTTTTGGTGTGTGTGTGTGTTTGTGTGTGTGTGTGTTGTTTTTATGTGAATGGGGAGGATTTCACTTTTCTATATAATTGAAGTGCTTCACATGCCTTTAGTGCAGATAATGTTTTGAGAATTGTTAGAATTGCCAGTGAGATTTAGTAAGAGTGTACAAGCTTAGATATTGACTATAAGTCACGTCTGAATTTTGTTTTTACATTTTAGTGGAAAGAGATGTAAATGGAGCGTTGTTGTCTCAAGCAACTTGTAGGCCCTGTGATGGAAGCGAAAACTCTTTTACAGTAGCAAATGTGTTAGGAAACAGGTAAGCAGTGTGCTGCGTGCTTTCATTAACATCATTTTATATTTATGCAGATTCTGTACCCTTTTGAAGTACTTTCCCATATCATTTGCTCTGATGCAATAAAATAAATTTAAATAAATAAATAAATAAATAAATAAATCCATCAGTGTCCCCAACTAGTTTACTGCCCTCTGTTCCTTTATATTGTTCATTAATGAAAAATATATTTTCCTAAAATAAAGATAAATACTTTAAAATTGTTGGTTGTATGTTTGATAAGTAGTAGATACAAGTTTCTTTTCAGCATGTTACTTTTTGCTTTGTGGCAGGTAAAATAGGGAAAGTATATTTGATATAAGTACTTACAAAAATGGATTTGGTTTCAATTATATGAGTTTGTTTGCCTCATTTGTTAATTGAGTGATTTATCCATCTTTACTTTTCGGTATTATTTATTCCTTACATCCCATATAGCTTCAAGAGAATACACTCCTATTACTGGTTAATTTTATTTATTTATACCTGGTCTTGTAATACTAAGAGTAGTATAAAATGATTCAAGTCAGTGTAATATTTTTAATTTGTTTTCTTATCACAAGTAATTGCTTAGCTGATTGAATCTAATCTAGTGTTTAGAAGGCAAGTTCTTGATTAAATTCAGGTTTAATAAATTCACTGACATTTTAAATATTATGTTTGTTATATTGACAGGTGTGTCCGATGTGAGCCAACATTCATTAATACCAGCAGGTCCTGTGCGTGCTTAAAACCTAACACTTTAGTAAGGCTAATCAAATTGATAAAGTACATATTTTAAAATTAAATTGCTTTATACTGCTCCAAAAATTGTTTTATTTATTTATTCATTTGTTCATTAATTTTTTAGACAGGGGGCTTATGTTTCAGCACAGGAAATTTTCCTCCACCTATGATTTCACCTGCACGTTATGGAGAGCTTGTGAGTACAAGTAAATTTTTTGTTTCATTGTTAAGAATATTTCTGCATTTCTTTAGTAATTAATTTGGGATTAAAATAAGGAACATGTATGTGTAAATCACTTTTAAAAAATCTTTTATTGATTTCATGCCGAGACCGGTTTGGCTCAATGAATAGAGCGTTGGTTTGGGGACTGAAAGGTCGCGGGTTCGATTCCGGTCAAGGGCATGTACCTTGGTTGCGGGCATATCCCCAGTGGGGGGTGTGCAAGAGGCGGCTGATCGATGACTCTCTCTCATTGATGTTTCTAGCTCTCTATCTCTCTCCCTTCCTCTCTGTACAAAATCAATAAAATATATATTTTTAAAAAAAAATCTTTTATTGATTTCAGAGAGGAAAGGGGAGAGTGAGAGAGAGAGAAACATCAGTGATGAGAGAGAATCATTGATTGACTGCCCCTTGCAAGCCCCCCACTGGGGATTGAGCCTGCAACCTGGCCTGGAATTGAACCTGGGACCCTTCAATCTGCAGGCCGACTCTCTATTCACTGAATTAAACCCGCTAGGCTGTAAATCACTTTAAATCAGAAATTTTCAGTCTAGGAAACAGACTAACAACTCAGCATTAACTTTATAAGTTCAGTTCCTGTCTTCTCTACTTTGGCTCATTCTTTTTTCAGTGAATCTCAGAATGTTTAGGCTGAAAGGTCCATTCAAGGTCGTGTAAAGAATGCAGTATAATTTAGTTACGAGCACCAGAGACTAAATTTCAACTCTGGACTTACCAGCCTTCTGCTTTGTATCTTTGGATTTAGTTAACATTTCTAAACTTCAGTTTCATTGTCTGGAAATTGAGCATAATAATAACACCAATCTCACAGTGCCTGTACATGGTAGTCACTGGAGACAGGAGCATTTCTCTTACCCAGCCAGGTTCTTTATTTATAGATGACAGCATAGAGTTAGAGCTTTTGTAACAGATCCTAATGATGCCAGCATCTGGATGTAAAATGGAAAGTATGAATAAATTGGAACCGAAGAAGTCACAAATCCAAGAGAATAGGAGTTAGAGGACTGACTGAAAGTTAGTTATAAACATGGAGTATAGCGGGCAGCGCCAGGCCAGCCAAGGCGGGTACCAGTGGGGACCCCGATCGTGGCCCCCCCCCACCCCCCGTCCCCGTCACCCCACAGATCGACCCTGATTCCACAGATCGGTCCTGATTGCTGGCCAGGCCTAGGCACCCTATCCATGCATGAATTTTGTGCATCAGGCCTCTAATATTAAAATAAAGGAGTTTAGGAGAAACCAAGGTGGCAGCATAAGGTATACACCTCTACAAGCTGTCTCTCACAACCACATCAAAACTACAATTAAAAGACAAAACAGCTATCATCCAGAACCACAGGAAGTCTGGCTGAGTAGAAGTTCTACAACTAGAAGGAAAGAAAAAAGCACATTGAGGCTGGGTAGCAGGTGTGGAAGCACAGAAGAGTGGAGGTTCGGAGGCTAGCGAAACGGGCTGGCAACTGAGTGTGCTGTTTTTTTCAGTCGAAGGGAGATACAAGCTCCCGATTGCTCTGAACTCCAGTTTCCGGCGAGACCCTGGGGACCCAGACTCCTGTGGGGAGAAACTGGATTGTTTGGCATTGGGTCGGAAAGTGAGGGTGGCTTTTTCGCAGAGGTGCTTGCAGGAATTATTGTTACTGCATGGAGGCACAGGACACGGGGACTTGGAGATGCAGAGTCAGCTGACTGGCAGCCATCGCTGTTTGCTCTGCCCTGGTGATTTCCTGAGACCCTGCCCCGCCCAATTTACAGCCCCACCCAAGCTGTGCACAGTGGCTTTTGCATATGAATGGCCTGTCCTTTCATAGCCTAATCTAACAAACTGCAGCTGGATCAGAGAGCTCCAAAACTTCCAAACCCCAAATAAAGAGGAGAAATCTGCAGATCTCGCTATAGCTCCTGATGGGTGGCCTCAGGCAGTGGCTGACTTTGCACCTCCTTGGAGGTCCAGGAGCCAATGTACCTAGTAGTCAGTGTGAGATGATACCAGAGTTCAGCTCCTTATATCGATAAGTGACACACTCAAGAGGCAGACTCAGTGAGCACCAAAGCTCCACTGAACCTAGTCCTGCCCCATAAGGGTGTCTCCAGCACAGCAGTTCTTCCATTATAGATACAGCGGGTCCTCACAGCCAATTGGCCTGGAGGTCAATTCCTCCTAGTGATACCAATCAAGGCTTAACTAAAATAAAGGAGTTTAATTCCAAATGGATACTTCAGAGTTCTTTTTAAGCTCTCATTTTCAAGTGAAACCTTATTTTTAAAAAATATTTTTTATTGATATTTAAAGAGAGAAAAATACTGCCTTCAGAAACATCAATCGTCTGCCTCTGGTACGCCCCCTGCTGGGGATGGAGTTGGCAACCTAGGCACATTCCCTGATCCGTGCATAGGACAATGCTCTAACCATCTGAGCCACACTGACCAGGGCTAGAATTAATTCTTATATTCCCATTAGTATCTATGTTTTTAATCACATTGAGAAAGTCATGTTAGTCTATTTGCATTCAACAATATGCATTATTAACATCTTCCTAATGTAGTATTAAGGAATTTTTATTTGAACTTAAAACTAAAATTCATCTTTTTGTTTACAGGGCATGTCCATCCCTTCAGAATGGTTTGCAAGGTATTTGCATTCATCAGCAGCTGCTTGTAGTGTAAGTTTGAATTTTAAAAAAAAATAATTGTATATAATTTTGAAGAATTGTACTTTTCCCCCCCTCAGATCACAAAAGTTTTCTAAGTAGATATATCTCTTTGACTATTAGAAGAATAAATCTTTTCTAGTGGATTGAATGAGAATATATAATATAAAGAAAATGTTATTAATTTTATATTTTGTTATATAAGCTGTCTCTAAGCTTATTCAGCTGAAACTGATTGATACAGTCATTTAGTAAATGTTTATTGATGACCTATTCTGTTCCCAGTCCTGTTCTTAAATCAGTTTATGTAGTTCAGAAAAAGACATTTAAAATGTCAAGTGATGGCCGAGACCGGTTTGGCTCAGTGGATAGAGCGTCGGCTTGGGGACTGAAGGGTCCCGGGTTCGATTCTGGTCGAGGACATGTACCTTGGTTGCGGGCACATCCCCAGTAGGGGGTGTGCAAGAGGCAGCTGATCGATGACTCTCTCTCATCGATGTTTCTAACTCTGTATCTCTCTCTCCCTCTCTGTATAAAATCAATAAAATATATTTTAAAAAAAAATAAATAAAATAAAATAAAATGTCAAGTGATGCTAAGTGCACTGAAGATAAGTCAGGAAAAAGCACATTGAGAACGGAAGAGGGCACTATTTTACATAGGGAGGTCAGGTCAGGCATCTTTGAAAAGGTGATATTTGAGTGGGGATCTGAAGAAAGTGAGTGCGAACCACGTAAAGGGAAGAATGTTCTAAGCAAAGATCATGCAGGTACTGAGTTCCCAGAGCAGGAGTTACTGGCTTGTTCATGCTTAAACAGGAAAGAGCCTGGAGTGGCAGGAGCAGAGAGAGCAGGGGAAGTGGAGCAGTGAGTTCGGGGCTGAAAGGAGTGGCTGGGGCAAGGATGGGGTTTTCTGTAAGAGAGTTGTTTTCCCACAAAGGAAGGCACGATTGAACGTCAGGTTTTAAAAGGGCCACTATAGCAGAGAGAGCAGATTTTGTTGGGGCAAGGACAGAAGCTGGGAGACCAGTTAGGGAGAGTTATTAGGGTAATCCGAGTAAGGGACAAGGATGGTACTATGGAAATGAGATAGACTTTTGGATATACTTCTGCTTATATTTTGGAGATTGCGCCAGCATGATTTACTGATTAATTGGATATGGGAAGGGAGAAAAGAAGAGCACTCTAGTGTTTTGATTTCAATAACTGTAAAAATGAAGTTTCCTTTTTTCTGATGGAGAAAACTGAAAAAGAAGTTTGAGGGGCTCAACAAATTGTCTTATTTTATTATTTTATTATTTATGGAACAAATTACTTAACTCAATGGATAGATTTACACACACACATACAAAGGCCTGGTGCACAGAATTGTGCTCAGGTATGGTCCCTAGGCCTGGCTGGTAATCAGGGCCCATTGGGGCCTTCTGACTGTTGGCCAGGGCCTCCCTTACCTGGCTGCCGGCTGCCGGCTGCTGGCTGGGGCCTCCCTTCATTCTGTGCCACCCTGTGGTGGTCAGTGCACATTATAGCGAGCTATTGAACTCCCTGTTAACTCCCAATGGAACATTTTGCATATTAGCCATATATATATAATCTAAAATGCAAACAAATTATTCATTCAAATATAATTATCCTACTTAACAGTTCTTTTAAATGTCATGCAATAAGTTTTTAGTTCTTTCAATTGCTTGTCTTTAATTTTAGCCTAACTTTATAATTAAAATGTCCATTCCTTCAGAATAGTTTGCAAGGAATTTGCATAAAAGGTACATTATTCTTCTGCCGTATAGAAAATTCTTTTGTACCGAAACAGAGGAATGGTATAAAAAATAAAGGAATACCCAAAAGAATAATTTGTAGAATAGGTAAAATTAAAGCCAGGCATAATCTATTATATCTATTTTTCTTAGGATATTAAAATCCATGTTACATTTGTCATTGTTCTCTTGTAGGTATATGCCAATCTAACAGCTTGCCAAGCTCTTGGAAATATGTGTGTGATGAACATGAATTCTTATAACTATGCCACCTTTGATGCATGTGGACTATTTCACTTGGTCTCTGAAAGCACTGCTGGACTCAGCAATGTCCATTCTGTTTCATTTTGGTGAGGATAGTCTGATAGATGAACTGTCATTTTGACCAAATTCAGTGCAGTTACTTTCACAAATATTAATATAAATATTGCTTCCCCATTATTAAAACAATTGTAATTGTTTATAGGAAACAGAATCTTCCATGGCTGTTCTATGGATATCAGCTTGGGTTAGCACCTCAAGTCCTCAGTACTACACCTTTTCCTTCAAATTTCAGTTTTAAAGGGCAAAACCAGGTACAAGCATAACTACATTTTTATATTCAATTTGAAAAGGAAATAAGAATGTTACTAGTCATAAGTATTGCTCCTTTGGATTGTTTTTAAATCTTAATTACTAACCTAAATCTAAGTATCAGCTATTCATAGTAACTAAACAAAATAGAGTTTAGCTGTCTTATTTGAGTACATAGATGTATACATCTGGATTATGTGATTATGGCAGCAAGTACCACTTGTCGGGTTGGGGAAGGTAGTTCCATCACCAAATGCAAAATAATCTCTGTCCCTTTATATCTCTGCCAATTTAAGAAGTACTTCCAAACACGGGGCTCAACGCTATTTCCCCGGCACTTCATGTGTCCCCGTTCTCCAGCTATTTTACTTTGTGGAATGTAGTAACAGATTATTCCCTCCCCTCTATCTACCCCCCACTTAAACAGGTTTGAAAGGAGGTCATCTGTCACTAGCACTGCCCCTCAATTCTGAAACAATAGTTTTCATACTAAAAAAAGAACACAAAATCTGGTCCATTTATTTTAGGTGTGTTCAGTCATAGAGACACTTAGATGTATTTTGCTTCAAAATTAAGATAACTGAATTTAATATTTGATCTCTGGGAAAATAAAAGATCAGTCATCAATAACAATTTCTTTATAGAATACTAGTGGCCCAGTGCACGGATTTGTGCACATTGAAAGGAAATTAATTAGAAGAAATAACAACATAACAACAAAAAAGTAACATAAAAACCACATTGATAAAAACAATCACTGATAAATTGATTAAACTTATTCTAATACCTTCCTATATACCACATTAAGAGTAAAAACACTCTGAGTACTTGACTAATTTCCCTTGTGATGAAGTATTTACAACTTTAACTTAATGCTACATGCTCTTCAAACTCAAAAGAAAGCAACATATAACTTATCATGTCCCAAAATGGGATCAAATAGAAATATTCCTACTCTGTCTAGATTGGCACCAGCAAGAGCTTTTCATGTATTGCACATGTGCAAGTCAATATTTATTTTTAAATTACCAGTGCATGTCATATGTACTGGCCAGCCAATCGGACAGACTTATGGCTGGTCACTTAGCCTTTTATATAGATAGATAGATAGATAGATAGATAGATAGATAGATAGATTATATTGCTTTTAGAGTATGTGAAATTCTTTTCTTATCTTTCTTTAATCAGAATACACAAATGAAGTTTGTTGCTGCTTCCTATGATGTAAGAGGAAATTTTCTCAAGTGGCAAACTTTAGAAGGTGGTATTTTACAGGTCAGCATGATTCTGGCTAAAGAATTACTTCTGTGCCTTATTTTTGCCTGAGGAAAAGATTCGTTTATTGCTTGAATAGTGGAGAAGTTGCATGCTACAGTTGATTTTTGTGTGTGTGTGTGAATTTATTAAAACCATCTTTTTAGGACTTTTATTTAACTTTTTTCCTCCTTAATTTTCATACCTTTAATTCATTAGATAAATATTATATAAAGTATATATTCATGTTGGGACTTGAGAATTCTTGACTACAATCCAAGAAAACATTTGTGAGAGATATTTATCAGTTGTATTCTTTTGCTGTAGCTTTGTCCAGACACAGAAACAAGATTAAATGCAGCTTATTCTTTTGGAACAACCTATCAACAAGACGTAAGTTTAAGTTTAAACTGCATTAAGCAGTATTTCATTTTCACTTTCACATTAGCATAATTGGAATAAACTTTGAATGTTTGAAATTGGAAATGTTTTTAATAGTAATGAAGAACTTCACTGATTGACTTTTTTTTATTACCTGGGTACAGAAAATCTTAATTTAATTAGCATGAAGAGAGTACCTTGTCCTCCACAGAGTTTTATACATCATATAATGTTAGATTTTAATAATCAGTTGTTGATTCTCCTGTAGACATATAAGTCCTCGAAACAAAGTGTACTTCAGAGAGTTTTGGAATAAAATAGAAGTGTTACTTTATTTTTAGTGACTAATAAAAATTTTACTCCTCCTCTCACCCTCCCATAAAATGCTTTTTCAAATCTTTTCCTCCTCCCTCCTTCTCTGACCTTTTTCTTTTTTATAACCCATTTTGAAATCACAATATTATACAAAGGAATATTATGATCCATTGAACACTTAGTAGTTTACAAAAAATACTTCTTGCTTAAATGCATAAATACACACTATAGAACAAAACTGTGATTCCAGTTTTGAGAAAGCCATGATTAGAAACCTATCATAGAAAACAATGGAAGAAAATAAACATTTTTAATGTGGTTATATCTGCGAAATAGGATTACACATGCCTTTCTTTTCTCTTTTATATTTTGCATATTTTCTATCACAAATATGAATTCACTTTTATTATCAGAAATTTCAGATATTATTTCCCCCAAAAAAGAAAAATAAATGTTATATGTCTACTGTGGCCAGAAGAATCAACACTTGTTAAATGCCTGCTGCTGTATGTTGAGCATTTTATCATTGTTATCTGATCCATGAAATACCTATGTGAAATACATATTATCTGCGCTTCACAGAGAAGGAAACGGTGCTCTGTGAGGCTAGGTAATTTACTCAAGGTCTTGCATCAAGTAAATTGTGTAGCTAATGTTCTGTTAAGTTACACAGTTGTGGTTTTTCCATTGAACTTGACTGCCTCTCAGAGTAGTAGAGAAAACAGCTCTATAGACAAAAAGTTACAAAGAATATGATAAGTGTTGATCAATAGGTATGGGCAAGGTACGGCATTGGCAGTTCCTGAGGGAGTAGAGAAGGGCTTCATACTGGGGCTCGTAGAATGAATTTGAGTTTTCTACGAGAACATAGTGGGGAAGGGACAGGCAGGCAGAAACAACATTTGCAAAATAGAGACATAGAATAGAATAGCATAGTTAGGAACAGCAAGTTGATTGGTATGAATGGACTCTAAACTAGTAAGGAGCAGTGATAAATGAGCCTGTCTTTGTTAAGGGGGCCAAATCACAGGCAGCACTGTACATCAGGAGAAAAAATTAGGACCTCATCCCTTTTCACCGCTGTACCTTTAATGTTGAGAAGGAAGGCATACCCTTTATAGCTGGGTTATAGGACCAGACCAGGCAGTTCTTTATTGTTAGTGGGGTTTTTTTTGGCCTTTATTTTTTAAAAAATCATATTTATAGCTTCATGTTTTGGAAGGTACCAGGAAATGCACATAAACAAGTAATTTAAATATACTTTATTTTCTAGAAATTAAAACAAAACAAAACAGTCTTTTAAAGATAATAAATATGCTTTGTAATATTCAGTTGGGATGCTTTTATTTTTCATTTTATTTTCCAGTGTGTGATTCCTCTCTCTAAGATCTTAATTGACTTTCCCAGTCCTATATTTTATGATCTATACCTTGAATATACCGATGAAAATCAACACCAATATATTTGGGCTCTGCCTGTGTTAAACCTAAATCTTCAACACAATAAAATGTTTGTGAACCGAGGTAAGACGTCCATGCAAGCCATTCTTTCTCTGAGCTCAACTCAGTAATAGGTCAACCCACCTGATAATGTACTATACCATGTATTATAAGAAAGGTCATAGATTCTCTCTTACTTTATGGTTTTATATAGCATGCTAAAAAGTGAAACAATTACATTGCTGGTATACTTAAAAATTTTTACAAAACGTGTCATGCTTATTGTTAAGAAATTATATTATTGTAAAAGTGTGTCCTGAGAAAAATTAATAGAACATATTATAAAATTCTGCTTATTCAGGTTAATTTTCAGGGACAGGTCTTCCAAAATGATGAAAAGTCCAAATAATCAGAAAACATTCAAATGTGGTAGAAAAATCTAGTAGGAATTTCTTACAAAAGATGTGTTTTGTTGAGTGTGTGTTTTTTTTGCAACAATTTTATCTAAAACAAAATGTATTAACTTTGTGTGTTAAATTAACACTTTGTGTGTTAAGTTTCTCCTTGAGCACCATCTTGAAGAACTTTTTAAAAACATTTTTATTGATTTCATAGAGAGGGGAGGGAGGGAAGGAAAGAGAGAGAGAGAGAGAAAGAGAGAGAGAGAGAAACATCAATGATGAGAGAGAATCATTGATCAGCTGCCTCTTGCACGCCCCCCACTGGGGATTGAGCTCACAGTCTGGGCATGAGCCCTGACCAGGAACCAAACCAGCAACCTCTTGGTTCCTGGGTCAAAGCTCAACCATTGAGCCACACCAGCCGGGCAGATCTGGAACCATTTGAAGGTACTTTTTTAATGCTATTTTTCTCTCTCTTTATAATAAAAGACAGTAACTCTGGCAAGTGGATTCTAACTCGGCGCATTTTCTTAGTGGATGCACTAAGTGGACGAGAAAATGACTTAGGAAGTCAGCCAAGATTAATTCGAATTGCTACACAAATATCTCTGAGGTAAACAAATGTATAATACACTAAATTAGGCTTGAAGTATACCAGTAATTATCAAATGAAAACAATAAGGACAACCGAATTGAAAAAAACAACATAAGGGTATTTTAGATATCTGTGCAGTCTAGGCCCATGGTCGGCAAACTGCGGCTCACGTGCCACATGAGACTCTTTGGCCCCTTGAGTGTGTCTCTTCCACAAAATACCACGGCCTGGGCGAGTCTATTTTGAAGAAGTGGCGTTAGAAGTTTAAGTTTAAAAAATTTGGCTCTTCAAAGAAATTTCAGTTGTTGTACTGTTGATATTTGGCTCTGCTGACTAATGTTCCAGTGTTCTGTTTCATGCTAACTCCTTATTCAGTCAGCTTCTTTTGCTTATAACACCTTTCAGGTTGCCCCATCTGAAGCCTAGCTATGTGCCCTGACCAAGAATCCAATGTGCGACCTTCTCGTATACAGGACAATGCTCCAAACAGCTTAGCCACACTGCCCGGGGTTCAGAGGGTTTGTTTTAATATTAACATTTTAACCACTTAAGATAGCTTGTGTTATTACCATTGGTTTTTGTTTTATTTTCCCTAGTCTTTATTAACTGGTTGGTTCTGAGATTAACCAAATTGTCCATGTTGAGTTCAAAAGAAACGATAAATTAAATGTATGTTTCAGGGCCTAGACGTACTTATAACGAGAAGTATATTTTCTTTTAAACAGCATCCACCTTGTACCCAACACAAAGAAAGGAAACATCTACCCTCCTTTAATCACCATTGGCTACAGTGACATTGATGTCAAAGACCCCAACAGCCAGTTTGTGAAGGTGAATTCTTTACTAATCAGTGTCTCTATGTGGGATACAGTTTACATTACAAATTAGTCCTTTTCAAGTTTTACATAGACACTGCTCTTTATATAGCCAAATGTTAATTAGTTTTCACTAATGATGGTCAAAGGTGAGTCTTATGGATCCTGAGTATTAAAAAGTCAAGACGAAGTTTTTTGTAGACATTGTCGAGGTATGCTGAGATGCAGAGCATGCTGCTTATTCTTTTTGGCCACCTTGCTTCTGTTAAGGTTTTGTCTTCTCCTTGCCCTGGCCTACAAAAATCAGCCAATGGATGCATAAATAAGTGGAATAACAAATCAATGTTTCTCTCAAAATCAAAAAATTAATACTATATTTTGTCTTCTTTTCCAATTAAACCAGGAATTCAAACTTGCCCACTTGAAGACACACTTGAACAGGCAGAAAAAGATTTAAATGATCAACTCTATCCCTAATGCTAAAATGAACTAGAGAATGCAGTTTGGACCTGCAGCCAAATTGGCTTTCTACTACTTCCCCACTCAATTAATTAACTTTCCCCACAGAACTAAAGATCTCCGCTGCCTGGCAGGGTCTGGAGATGGGAGAGAGACCGTGTGCACCCTGACGACAGGCTACACCAAAGAGAAGGAGCCTGGAAAAGGCTGGGCCATACATGCTCAGTGCCTCCTCTCCACCTCACCAGTAGATACAGCATTCTGCTGTGAAGAGGGATAAATGAGAGGATATATTCAAACCAGAAGTAATGCTTCTGTGCCTTTTCCTCAGAGAGATTAAGTGGTTATCCCCTTCCCCCTCTAAAAACATGAAAAATGGGGGTTAAGCACCTCTTTCCTCCAAGACTCACTACTAGCTTTTAATTTCCACTGTTTTACTTTTCTGAATTTTAATGTTCTAATTTCTTCAACCAGTGCTTTTGGCCTCCCTGTTGTGCTGGTACTTGTACTCTGTACTATTGGATTTAGGCTTTCATTAAGCAAAAAGAAGGCACAGAACATAGCTTTTCTCACATCCTCATTTGTATTACCTAATCCAATGTTAAATTCGTTTCATTGTCCTGGCTTACACACACTGTAATTACAGAAGAAGAAAATCCAGAAGCCTGCTTAGTAACAGAAGACGGCTTGGTTTACAATTTCCTGGAGTAATTATTCTTAAGTAACCAAGAGTATGAGTATATTTATTTTAACATAAAACATTTCTGGATCTTTTCTTGTCTAAAATATTCCAAACTAAGTCTAGACAAACTAGGAAATAAGAGAGTTGAGAGAATCATAAAATTGTACTGACAAAGTCCACCTCAAATTCATTCTAATTGTAGAATATACAGGTCTTTCATCATTTCTTTTTTTTTTTTTTATATTTTATTGATTTTTTACAGAGAGGAAGGGAGAGAGAGAGAGAGCTAGAAACATTGATGAGAGAGAAACATTGACCAGCTGCCTCTTGCACACCCCCTACTGGGGATGTGCCCTCAGCCAACGTACATGCCCCTGACCGGAATAGAACCCGGGACCTTTCAGTCCGCAGACCGACGCTCTACCACTGAGCCAAACCGGCTTCGGCGAGGTCTTTCATCATTTCTTAATTTCTATGCCAGCTGTTACAAAAATTCTACATTAGTTTTAAGCATTCAGCTACATCTTTGCTCTCACCAACAGCAAATAACTTAACCTCATATTTTATGAGGATCGAGACTATTCAGTATGAATTTCCTCAGATTTCCTCTTTAATACTTCAGAATCTCTGTGTTTCGTTATCCTTCTTGTCTCTTATTCCTGTTTCTAAGGGGAAAAAAGATCCCTCCTCCTTTCTTCAGCTAATGGACTTTTATTTGTTTACAGCTTTCTCCAGTGTTCTGTTTCACCCTAACTCCTTATTCAGTCAGCTTCTTTTGCTTATAACACCTTTCAGGTTGCCCCATCTTAAAAGCAAATAAAAATACACAATAAAATGCTTCCTTAATTTTGTTAGCTTTTCAACTTGTTATTGTATATCTTTCCTTGATTTTCCAGCCATTTACTCTTTCATCATTTGCAAAACACTATAATAGAAACAACATAAGAACAGGCACGTAGATCAGAGAACCCAGAAATCAACCCAAACCACTATGCTCAGTTAATACTTGGCAATAGAGGCAAGGACATACAATAAAGACAGTCTCTTCAATAAATTGGACAGCTACATGCAAAAAAAATGAAACTAGACCACCAACTTACACCATACTCAAGAATAAACTCAAAGTGGATTAAAGACTTAAATGTAAGTCAAGCAGACATAAACATACTAGGAGAAAATATAGGCAGAAAAATATCAGACATCTCACATATCAGAATTTTCATTCGATACATTGCCTATGGCAAGAGAAACAAAGGAAAAAAATAAATGGGTCATTTTGATTCTTTGAAAAAACTCTATCCATGAATGTCTGCAATGAATTTCACATCCAATGGCTTTATTTCTTTAACTTGACACACATTTGACACTGAACTCTTGACTTTCCTGAAACTCTGTCCATGGTGAGACTTCTGTATCTTGCCTCTCCTACCTCTCAATACCGTTTCTCTTATCTTTTACTGCTTCTTCTTTCTCTTCCTGTCTCTCTTTTTATTTAGATTCTTTCTGTCTCTTAACACAATGGTATCCCTAGGATTCTTGTTCACCCCTTTGTTTAATCTGCCTTCTTAGGTTATGATTGTTTAGCCAGTAGCTAAATTCTTGATACATAAATTCTGTCATATTCCTCAGTTACAGAAAACTATCAGAAAATAAAATATGATTAGTTTTGATTGACTGCCGTTAATGAACTAACCTAGCTTCTAATGAAACCCTCTTTCCTGAATGTATGTTCAAAAGGAATATTTAAGCAGCATGAATAGTTCCAAAGCATATCAGTTTATGTATCGAATATAAGTTAGGGTCAACACTAATAGTATTGATAGTTCAAAATATGGCATTTAGAGCAAAATCCAGCTACAATTGTATTTTTATAGTAAAGGTAGATTTGTGTTATATAATTTCAGTATGGCTAATTTGCTTTATTTTAAATATCAGGTTTCCTTCTCAGTCGAATATGAAATGAATCAAGAAGAACCACGTATCCAGACAGATGTGAGTTTATTTTAATTTTAATTTTAAATATATTTTATTGATTTTTTTACAGAGAGGAAGAAAGAGGGATAGAGTTAGATACATTGATGAGAGAACCATCGATCAGCTGCCTCTTGCACACCCCCTATTGGGGATGTGCCCACAACCAAGGTACATGCCCTTGACCGGAATCTTACCTGGGACTTTTCAGTCCACAGGCTGATGCTCTATCCACTGAGCCAAATTGGTTTTGGCGATGTGAGTTTATTTTAACCTGTCGAAATATTTACAGTATATTTTTTACCATATTTTCTGGCTTATAAGACGACCCCCCTAATTTTACAGTTAAAACATAGGTTTAGGCCTATATTCGCTGTATAAGACTACCCCCCACTTCCGAGGCAACACCAGTTCTTTTTTTAATAGACCACCTCTCTGACTCTGGCCAATCTGAGCAGGCTTTTTTTTTCGTTTCAAAAGTCGTCTTATATGCCAGAAAATACGGGTAAATAAAAAAAATTTAGATGGACAGGAATGTTGTCAAAATAGATTTGAATTATGTCCTTCACCCAGCCTCCCCTTAATATTAACATCTTACATAATTCTAGTACAGCAATCATAACCAAGAAATCAATATTGATATAATCCTACTAACTAATCTTGAATTTCACATGTTTTTTACAATCCTTTTTTTGTTTAGGATGCAGTCCAGGGTTGCATATTGCTTTTAGCTGTCTTCTCCTTTTATCTGTGACAGTTCTTTAGTTGTTCTTTGTCTTTCATACCTGACCCTGTCACTTTTGAATTATTATGGCTCTTAATTGGGCTGATGTGATATCTTCCCATGATTAAATGTAGTTTTAGAACAGATACTGAAGCATCCATCTTCTATGAAAACTGCTGTTTGAAATTTTAAGCCTGCTAATGGGCTTCTGTAAATTCTTGCTTGCTAAGACTACTCCCACTTCAGCTAGGCATTAAACTTTCCCCAGACAAGGTTATCAGTGCTGGCACCAGGCTGGGCCTCTGGTTGAGGTCTCAAGGCCCAGCACATACGGGCTCTTTAAGAACTTGCAAAAGGGGCCAGAAACACTCAATATTTGGGAGATAAAGAGGGTAAAATCATATAAATAGGGAGAATTCCTGCATGTTAGGGCTCAGAATTTGAGAGACATTTTCCTCAGGACCCGTGCATAATAAAAGTAATTCCATCTCTCTGGTATTGCTTTGTTCTTCTTCGGTTTTCTGAAACAATACCACAGAAATGATACTATGCCCTCCTCAGTGAATCATGTCAAAATATTTGATGTCCATATATCTTATTATTGACATTAACTTTGATCATATGACTAAGATGATTATCTGTAGAGTTCTCTACTGTACTTTACTTTTTGTAACTAATAAATATCTTGGGGAGAAATGCTTTGAGAGTAGGCAGATATCACACTTATTATTCTGATCTCTAATTTTAGCGTCTATTGACAGTCCTTGCCTGTAGAAAGTATTACTGTGATATATGTGTGATGGTGATTTTCTGTGTCCATCATTTCTTCTATATTTGTCAATTGAAATTATATAAAGATAAGCTGTTCTTTTGCCCACATCTATTTACTTATTTAAATCAGTAAGGACTAGTGGATACCTATTTATTCTTATGATCATAGTCCAATCACTATTTTCTTGCCAAATTGTTCCAGATGTGGCCATTGGGGGTGGGGGGGGTGGGGTCTTCAGTTTGGCTCCTATGTTCTTTGAGCATATCATCCACTACCATGTTTTTAGTATTTTTTAGACTTTATAGTGTTCTTTTTAAACACTGATGGGGGAAATTATATAAATTCCTAAATTTCCTTTTCTTTCCTTAGATTGCTTTGGGTGTGTTGGGTGGGCTAGCTGTTTTAACAGCTCTTTTGAAGACAGCAGGATGGAAGAGGCGCATTGGGAGTCCTATGATTGATTTACAGGTACGGTCTCGGGAGATCTGAAGTATATTTTTATCTTTGACTATTGTATGTTCTAATCAGACACAGCTAGTGGGTGAGTAAAAAGTTTGCCTGGAGTTTCTCTGGCGTAGCAGCGTCCCTCCTTCCCCTCCCACATTGCTGCACCCCATCTGCATGCCCCTCAGTGCTGCTCTTCTTCCTCACACCCTCGCCAGCCTTGGTATTTTCCCAGCCTTCCCATTTTGTGCCAATCTTGAGGTGTAAGGAGTATGTCATTGTTGACTCAATTTTTATTTCTCTGATTGCTCTTCATATGCTTCATGCATCATTTGGGTTTTCCCTTTTGTTTATATCTGTTGCCCGTTTTTCTATTAGACTTCCAGTTGTTCTTATTTAAAGGGTTTGTTTGTATTTTCTAAATATGAATCCCCTTTTGGTTTTTTATGTTGAAATTTCTTCTCCAAGTGTGACCCCTCTGTTATTTATCTATGTGTTCTTGTGTCTAACAGAAACTCTTAATTTTGATATTGTCACATCTGAATAATTTTTCATATTATAATATATTTTGCTTTTAAGATCTTGCTTAAGAAGGCCTTTCCCATCTCAAGTTCAAAAATATTTTCTCCCATGTCTTATTCTTTTAACTTTGCAGTTTTACTTTTCTTTTAAAATAGGTTTTGTTTTAATTATTATCTATCACTTATTGAATATTTACTATGTGCTAGGCACTTTTTTAAACTTTACATGTATAACTCATTTAATTCTCACAATAGCTGTATGAAGTTGATTCTGACTATTCCCATTTTCCACAGAGGAAATTTTGGCAGGCATTAAATACATTTTACACTCATTTAATTTTTATTGCAACTCAGTACTAGGTGGTATTTCCATCTAGCTGACGAGGAACATGAAAAGCAGCATAGTAGCTTCTTTGTGCTGGGGTGTCTTCAGGACTCCAAATCGAGCAGACTGGCACTCAGGGATGGGCTGTGACTTCCTGTTTGGGATGGTCAGGAAGGGCTTCGCAGAGAAGCTGGAGTATTTTTATCTGCGTCCCACACCAGTCACCAGGCCACTGCTGAGGCCTGGCCCTCTATCGGATGCTAGGACAGTGGTCGTGAGGACATGGCCTCTGCCCTCAGAGCTCACAGGAGTTTACCAGAGAGAATAAGGGAAGCATATTTGATGAGACAGTACCCATTTCATTCCATAAAATGTTTGGGATGAAAAGTGTGGGGTGGCAAATCACTAAAAGACCGGCATTGGCAGATGAAGCTAAAGAAGTTAGTTTTGGTCTAGGTTGTGCAGGACCTTATGGGTTAGGAATTTATATTTCAGCGGAGAGTCACTGGTGAAGAGGGACAGTCAATCCAATTTATACTCGAGGGAGCTGACCCCGATGGTAGCGTGGAGGACAGGCGCAGGAGAAGAGCTCCAAACTGGGAGAACATTAGGAAGCGGCTCTGTCACAGATGGAGAGAGAGGAGGAGGGCTGAATGAGACAGGCAATGGGGAATGGACCCAAAGGGTACCTGGGAGTGGCCACAGTTGGTCTTCCTAACTGATCCATGCATACATGAAACAAGGCTGCAAGCTCGAGCAGCGGGTACAGAATATGCTATTAAAAGTGGTGGCATAACTGCATTTAGTGTGTAACAGCTGTCATTCTTTTTAAATTGCAGACCGTTATGAAATTCTTGGTGTACTATGCTGGTGATCTGACCAATGTATTTGTTATCATCACTGTGGCCACAGGTCTCTATTGGCTCATTTTCTTCAAAGTGAGTGAGTTTCTGAATATGAGCTGAATGCCAATTCATGAGTAACTGTAAGTGCTCGTTCGGAAGGAGCTCCTTGTATCTGGGAGTGTTTCTGATGTGGGCTTTGAGACAAGTGCTGAACTCAGCATTCCTCGCGCACGCTGTGTTTATTGGGAGCATTACGGCCTTCCTCTATGCTTTCTTCGGGTTAGAAACTATGCTTAAAAGCCTGTGCTTACATTTACTGGTGTAATTTTTGTCACAGGCACAGAAGTCTGTCTCTGTTTTTCTACCAACGCCGACTCAGGAGGAACGTTTTGTTACTTTTGTGGGATGCGCTTTTGCTCTGAAGGTCAGTGTCAAAGCACAGGTTCAAAAACGTAAAAGGCCTGCTAATGCACTTGTAAGTCTTTCAAATTAAAGCACAGTGGAGCCGTAAATGTTTGAATTCAATGACTCAACTTAATTCATTTCAGAAGGCCGTTCAAGGAACGATTTGATTGAAAACTGAATCATTTGTTCCCATTAGAAATAATGTAAATTAAATTAGTCTGGCCGAAACCGGTTTGGCTCAATGGATAGAGCATCGGCTTGGTGACTGAAGGGTCCCGGGTTCGATTCCGGTCAAGGGCATGTACCTTGGTTGCGGGCATATCCCCAGTAGGGGGTGTGCAAGAGGCAGCTGATTGATGACTCTCTCTCATTGATGTTTCTAACTATCTCTCTTCCTTCCTCTCTGTACAAAATCAATAAAATATATTTTTTTAAAAATTAAATTAGTCCGTTCCAGTTCCCAAATAATTCCATGTTTTAACCTTTTCCAGTTGCCTGGGATCTTTGTTTTGTGAGCACTTTCATACCCTTACAAACATCAACATTCCTAATGGCCTCTTTCTGTTTTATAATTGCGCTAATCATGAATTTCACCGTGCCATAGTCAGTAGCCAGATCAGACATGCAAACAGTGTGTCGTTCTTGGCAATTATTTCTTTTTTAAACTCTGTCATTATTCTTACAGCTTTCCTTTTCACTTTGCTGCTATCACTAACCTCCTTAGGACCCATGATGACTTACTGTATGTGTTTAATATTAATAAGCAGCAACAAAAGCAAAAAACACAAAAACCCACTGAAATATTTACAGCACAATTTCCTGAGATGTTAACAAGGATTAGTGGTAAACGGACTCATACTCGCGCATTCTAGCCTTTGTCACTTGGAAGACGTGTGACTGATCATACAGGTGTCAACATGAAAGGGTAGTTGGGTAGAGAACAGAAGTTTTGTTCAACAACTGAGAAATTCTTTTGAAAACAACTTGGTCAAGAACCGATTGTTCAAGATGGGAGATATCCGAGAACCAAGGTTTTACTGGCTTTCAAAATCTTTGTAATTTTGTTGGATTTTGAAAGAAAGCATGAATTACTGTTTTACATAGGAAGTCTACTCTTTTAAAAAATGTATTTTTATTGATTTCCGAGAGGAAGGGAGAGGGAGAGAAAGAGATACAAAATCAATGATGAGAGAGAATCATTGATCTACTGCCTCCTGCACAGCAGGGGGATTGAGCCGACAACCCAGGCATGTGCCCTGAATCAGAATTGAATCCGGGACCCTTTAGTCTGCAGGCTGATGTTCTATCCACTGAGTCAAACTGGCTAGGGCTATACTACTTGGATGAATAATAGCTCATTTTGAAAATCCGGTTTAAATAACTTTTTCTAGGGAGCCATAAATATGTTTGAATTCAATGATTTATAGCTAATATGACAAAATAATATTTCATTTTATGACTTTCTTCTTTAAAATCTGATGATACTCTGACAACAGGGACAAAAATGCCTTCAGGCATGAATTTTGTTTCTGTAAATTGAAAGTGAAAGGTACTGGAATCTTAGAATTTGTTTTCTCTGTCTCCACAGTCCTTTCCTCCTCTGCCTATAGCATCCCTCCCCCTCACTTCCTTGTCAGTGTACCTGCAGCTCTTTCCATGCCTCTGTGGTAGACCTCATCTCGTATGATGATTAGTAACTGCTTTTCCCACTGTTTGTGACCGCCTTGAGGAGAGGAATCACCCCATACTTAGATTTTTAAAAAAAAATATATTTTATTGATTTTTTACAGAGAGGAAAGGAGAGGGACAGATAGTCAGAAACATCGATGAGAGAGAATCATCGACCAGCTGCCTCCTGCACACCCACCACCGGGGATGTGCCCGCAACCAAGGTACATGCCCTTGACCGGAATCGAACCTGGGACCCTTGAGTCCGCAGGCCGACTCTATCCACTGAGCCAAACCGGTTTCGGCCCCGTACTTAGATTTTTATCCTTTGATTAATAATGCATCAACTAGGAAGAATGCCTCATTTTAAACATCTTACTTTCTATAAATGAGAAATATGTGTTTCAGCCACATTTTAAATCAGAAATCTCAATACCAGAAATAGAAAAGAAAAAAAAAAAAAGGACTATTAAAGTACCTTAACACTTTAATTAGAACAAGAAAATTACAATGGGAAAATATTTTTACTTATAAAGAAGTCAGATTATCTAGAAAACCACGTCTCTTTCTGGAAACCTTGGGAAAGAGAGTCAGTTATGCAAGGGCCCTGTAGAGGAGAGGCACTATCTCTCTCTTTTTTCATATTCCTATTGCAAACAAAGATGGAGGAAGGGATGGCGAAATAATATGAGCATAAAATTTCTGTGAATTAGGTGATTCCATATTATTTTATGAAATTCTAGTGATTTCTGATGGTATTATAACTTTGTCACTTGTGAAAATTGTATGTTCTTATGACTGCAGTATATTTTCTTTTAAAGAATTAGTATTGGTGCTCTGGCTGGTGGTGCTAAGTTGTTAAAAGTGTCAAACCGTGTACAGAAGGGGTGCGGGTTTGGTTCCCGGACAAGGGCACATGCGTGGGTTGCAGGTTGGATCCCCGGCTCAATTGCATGTTTGGGAAACAAACCATTGATGTGTCTCTCTCACTCATCTCTCCCCCTTTCCTTCTCTCTCTCCATCTCCCTCTTAAAAAAAAAAAAATCAATGGAAAAATCCTTGTGAGGACTAACAAAAACCAAACACGCAGAAAATAATTAATATGGTTTTATAAGTAGGCTTAGTGTGGATGATTTAGTGTTCTGTTTGTCATTCTCAGGCGCTGCAGTTTCTGCATAAGCTCATATCCCAGGTTACCATTGATATATTCTTTATCGACTGGGAGCGACCGAAAGGAAAGGTTCTGAAAGCCGTTGAAGGTAACAAGTAACCATTCGTGCCAAAATCCTTTGCTCTCCTTGCAGAACAAAGACGAAGTGACCCTTTTACCCATTTTATCCCCCTGACCAGGTGAGGGCGGTGTGCGGAGTGCCACCGTGCCCGTAAGCATATGGAGGACATATTTTGTAGCAAATGAATGGAATGAAATTCAGACTGTGAGGAAAATTAATCCACTGTTTCAAGGACTCACTGTCCTCTTCTTTTTGGAGGTATGAACTATTTGACGTAATTGTATGCAACTTACGGGTACCACATATGATAGATGTCAGTTTAATTTAATTCCAGCTAAGTTTTCATGTGCGCTGAAGTTTTCTAAAGGCTGGAACGTTGTTCAAACGATTACAAAAAGGAGTGGCTCTGCCCTGGCCGGTTTGGCTCGGTGTTTAGGGTGTCAGCCCTCGGACAGGGGGGTTGTGGTTCAGGGCACACGCCTCGGGTGCAGGTTCAAGCCAAAGCCCCAGTCGGGCTGCCAGTGGGTGGCAACCAATTGATGTGTCTTCCTCACCTTGGTGTTTCTCTGTCCCCTTTCCCCTGCCTTCCACTCCCTAAAAATCAATGGAAGAAGTATCCTCACTCTTTGGGTGAGAATTAAATTTTTTTAAAAAAATATATTTTATTGATTTTTCACAGAGAGGAAGAGAGAGGGATAGAGAGTTAGAAACGTCGATGAGAAAGAAACATCGACCAGCTGCCTCTTGCACACCCCCTACTGGGGATGTGCCCGAAACCAAGGTACATGCCCTTGACCGGAATTGAACCTGGGATCTTTCAGTCCGCAAGCCGATGCTCTATCCACTGAGCCAAACCGGTCCCGGCGTGAGAATTAAATTTAAAAACAACAACACAGGAGTGGCTTTTTAAAAATCATGGTAAAATATCCATAATGTGAAAATTATCATCTTAACCATTTTAAGGATACAGTTCAATAATAAGTACATTCACATTGTTGGGCAAACAATTTCTAGAAGTCTTTTCATATTGCAAAACTGAAACGCTGTGCTCATTCAAACAACTGGCCATTCCCTCTCTCCAGCCCCTGAAAACAACCACTCTGTTCTGTCTCTCTGAATTCGGTTGCTCTGGGTAAGGAGTGGCTCGTAAACCATTGGCTGATAGCAGAATGCCCTGGAAAAGCTTTTACTAACTAAATACCTGTGCCTCGCCTCATCCCCTAGAGACTGTGTTTGATTCAGTAGCTCTGAGGTTTGCCCAGGAGATGTATTTTGAAAAAGTCCCTTCATGATTCATATTCTTAGTCCTGTATTAGAACCACTATTATAAGGTTGAAATTTTCCAATAATTTTTTTATTGAACACCTCCTATGAACTGTGTTCTATGTTAAGAGCTGAACAAGACACAATGAATGGGTAAATGCCCTTTATGGCTAGTTCATGGATCTGGTTGGAATTATTAAAGGAAGTATTCAATACTGGGTATGGGACTGAAATATGGAAACTACTTATATAGGTAACAGATTTTCTCAGGAATCATTAATCTTATGTCTGTCTGCCTTCATTCCCTTTGCCTTCTTCCCCTCCTTTCTTCTTTCTTTCCTTTTTTAAAGCTAGGAGAATATGTGTCCCTAGGACATATGAATACTATTTCAGTTATTGATAGTAGTGTTTTTTAAAGCTTTAAAGGGCATTACATGAGAAAAAAATTTATATCCAAATAAGTTTAGAAAACACTGGATTCAATAGTCATGTAGATTTCTTTAACGTAAAAGGAATTTTGCATAGTATCTGACATATGTTAAAATCTCAAGAAATGCTGTTTTTTCATTGGCAGTTTACTGAAGAAAGTTTTCTTCTTCTGACAAATTTTTGAGCTTTTTCAGTGTAAATGATAATAGGGTTATATTTGGCCTTCATTCATATTGAAGAAAATACCAGATGAACTATTTTATGTTAAGTGTTTTGTAATTAAAAATACTGGATAACTACTTTTATCTAGATTTTCTACTGTTTATATGAACTCAAATATTTTCATTTTTTTAAGGTAATTAGGGAGGAGTAATTTTTAAACTAGAGAAGTTTCCTTCTTCCTTGTCTGTTTAAATTATTATTTTTCCTTTTCACTACAGGTTGTGGGATTTAAGAATTTAGCATTAATGGATTCATCCTCCAGTCTTTCCAGAGACCCATCCAGCTACATAGCTCCTTATAGTCGCATTTTGAGATATGCAGTGTCTTCTGCTCTCTGGCTAGTGATTGGAATGATACAGGTAACAAGAGATTATATTTTCAAGCAACACTGCCTCTCTATATTTATAACTGTTTACATACTGATTATCCTCAGATATTGACCACATTCTGATAACTAACAATAAGAACAATAATAGCTAATAACTAATTCTTATGTAATGTGTAATCCAGGCACTGTGTGAATTGCGTTGTGGATGTTAACTTTTTAAATTTTTATGGTAGCCCTCAGAGATAGGTCTGTTAGTAACCTCATGTTACAGATGACATCCCTGAGGCATGAAAGGTTAAATAGTTGCCTAAAGCGATATCAGGCTGGCAGACAGAAGACGTCAGGGGCAATCAGGCAGGCAGGTAGGCAGGCGAGTGTTTGGGAGCCAGCAGTCCTGGATTGTGAGGGATCCCAGATTGGAGAAAGTGCAGGTTGGGCTGAGGGACACACACACACCCCAGTGCATGAATTTCGTGCACTGGGCCTCGAGTATTCTATGATAATTAAATATCCCTAGTTTTTGCATTGATACATTACATTTATGCTACAATGTGCCTACTTTGTTTATACAATTAGAGCGTGGCAGAGCTGTAGTTGGAACCCAGGCATTCTGATTTCAGAGATACATTCTTATCAACAGTGGGGCTCTGAAGTCTTTCGAAGTCTGAAGCTTTCTAGTCAGATGATGAACTCCTTGTTTAGTTTATAACTACAGGATGGCTAATTTACCTTTAATATTCTTTTTTTCCTCTGAAATAAAACGTATTAACCATTACTTAGTATCATTAAAACTCACTCAGATTGCCAATACTCCTTTTGAATTTTTCTTTAAAATATTTATTGAAACTAAAAATAAATCTCCTCAGCCTCAGGTCCCATCTGACAGAAGAGTCAGAAATGATGAGAATTTTATCCCATAAGAACCATTAGGGCCATCGTGTTCTTGGTTGGAACTTTGTTTGTCTTAAAATACTACATTGTGACTATAAAAGAAAATTAAATCCTAAAAGTTAATAAGCTCGAACTTGGCTTAATGTTTCAGATCGTGTTCTTTGCTGTCTTTTATGAGAGATTTATAGAGGATAAAATTCGACAGTTTGTGGATTTATGCTCTATGAGCAATGTAAGTACTTTCTGACTTTATCTTGCAACTGTTATTTTTCCCTTTTTAAAGGTCATGAATACATTAAGAGAGGCTTTAAAAGTGATTTGGTATAATTGGATTCTTAGACTAATTTCCACTGGTTGTTAATTCCAGAGATAGTTATAATGAGCTACAAGTTAATATTTTCTGTCTTCATTTTTTCATTTTTATTTGCAGTTTCTTAATTATGAATTCCTTATGCCACCGAATAGTTCATCTCGCTGAGAAAAATTTTCATATATCAACCTATTTCTTCCTTTCTTAGAAAATATCTTCAATCTCTTTTCCATCTACTTTTATTTTAAAAATAACCTTACTATCCTTTATTACCTTCTTATCTTCTTCATATATTTTCCAAAAATTCAACCCTCATTATTTTGAAAGGAAGCAATTTTAAGAAAAGTTAATTTTCACTGTTTTGCAGATAAATTGCTAATTGCTCCTTATTCTTTTCATTTTATAGATATCAGTGTTTCTGTTATCCCACAAATGTTTTGGATATTACATTCATGGCAGATCAGTACATGGGCATGCAGATACTAACATGGAAGAAATGAATCTGAATCTGAAAAGAGAAGCGGTAGGAATGTACTTTACATCTTTTTAAGTTGAAGGATAGGTTCTCTTTTCTTAATCTAGGATTTGTAATAATATATATTTTTAATCCTCATTAACTACTTTGAAAGTTGCTAGGATACCAACTCATTACCCTGAACATTGATAAAGGGAAAGAATTAAATTTCATGCTGCAGTTCCTCTATGAAATGTATTTCAGAATACCCAAATAATTCATGAGAGAAAGTTCTTCCTTATATAAGACAGTAAAAGGAATTCTAAGGTAAAAAAAATCATCATTTTGTAATGACTAATATAGGCTATAATCACCAATGGATGCTAAAACGATTAAATGAAAGTAGAGAGGGAACTTTGTAATCTGGAATCAGGTTCTCATAATCTGAATATACTGGCTCAATCTTACAAGTAAAAATTAGGAAAACTGACATTATGTACTTCCTGTCATGGCACAGTGCAAAGTACATAATGTCACCCATGAAATATTCTTGCCTAAGAATATAATCAAGCCTCTAGATCTACCCACTAGTTTATAGGAAATAGAGGGGATAGAGAGGAAAGTTAAATAATATCACAGGAAGCTCTTAGTAAAATTCAGAATATAAGATGTTTCACAGGAAAGAAAACCTCAAATAAATAGATTAATTAATTTTAAAAAATAAGATGTTTCACAAGACAAAGACCCAATGACTCCAAATGAAAGACATGACAATAAAAAGGGGTGGTGGTGATGGGAGAAAAACTGCTGGATAATAAGATAAATTTAAGAAACAAAGCAATCAAATGCAATGTGTTGATTGTGGATCTTGATTCAAACAAATCAATTATAAAAAATTTGGGGGAAAAAAATCTAAAAGATTTAATGGATTATATGTTATATTAAGGAAGATTAAAAATGTCTTGGCGGTTTTTTTTTTTTTTTTAACACACCTTATTAGATGTACTTGAAACTAATACAAAATAATATTGAATGTAAACTGTAATTGAAAAATATATGTATTTTTAAAAAGACCTTATTAGGGATATATACAGAAGTATTTACAAATGAAATGACATAGTATCTGAGGTTTTTTTTAAAAAAAGAAAACTTGGAAGGATAGATTAAACAAGCCTGGTAATTATATACCTAAGAGGAAAATACAAGATTTATTGAAAAAGGGACTATACCTGGATTTTTTTTAAAAGTAGGAGAGAATAAAGGAGATGATAGAGACCTGCAAGGGAATATCGAAAAATAGAGATCAATAAAACCTTGAGAGAATGGGAACCTTGGATAATGTTGGAATCTCTGTCTCAAATATGGTTTCAGTAAAATTTCAATTGGTATCTGAATTTTGTAATATGTAATACCAACTGAAAGAAAAGGTTATCTTAAAAAAAAAAACCACACACAGAAGAAATTTTGATAACGTTTATCTTGATTTAAATCTATTAACTTTTCAGGAAAACTTGTGTAGCCAGAGAGGTTTGGTACCCAACACCGAGGGTCAGACTTTCCAGATTGCAATTTCTAGCCAGATGAGACAGCACTACGACAGAATTCATGAAACACTAATAAGGGTTTGTATACAATATGATTAAGATATATTTTGCCAGTATTTTATGTTTAAATGCCAAGAATGTTAAGACATTTGCATTTATTCTTATCTCTTTTCACACTAGAAAAATGGCCCTGCTAGACTATTGAGTTCATCAGCAAGTACTTTTGAGCAGAGTATAAAGGCATATAATACTATGAATAAATTTCTGGGCTCTTTCATCGATCATGTATGTATGTCAGTATTTATACTTAAGCTAGAATCAAAATGCAGTTTAAAAAGTTAACCAAGAATATCAGTTATTTCTTTAGCTAAGCAAGGTGGTGGACTTAGGATAGTCCCCACCTTGGTTTTTTTTTTGTTTGTTTTTGTTTTGTTTTTTTTCTGTTAAAATTAATCATGTGGTTTAAGAATATAGATGTAGGTTATGTAAAAGTAAAATGAGATTTTACATGTCTGTGAGCATATTGTCTATACCTATGTCAATACTGGAATTTTGTTAGCCAGCTACCAAAATCTTTCATATTATTCATTCTAGAAATATATTTTGCTATGGTTGTATTCCTGAAAAACTTCTTATAAATTAATTGTCAGTATATCTAGCCCTAATTACTACTAAGGGCATTTAAAAATTAAAATATTCCTAAAAGGAATTTTGTTATAAAGCCCAATGGAGTAAATTAAGTCTTTTTGAAGAACAGATCTTCTTTGTGTACTATTATTTGTTTTCTTTTGATTAAAAAAATAATTGGGAAACATTTATTTCAATGCTATTTTTTAAATGACTGTGGTTTTTTTGTTCTAGGTTCATAAGGACATGGACTACTTCATAAAAGATAAATTGCTTCTTGAAAAAATTCTTGGAATAGAATTCATGGAACCAATGGAAAAAAGCATCTTTTATAATGGTGTCGTTCAACTGTCTTTGCAGAACTTGATTACTACTTTCAAAGTTTGGGGGAAAAAAGTTGTCGTAGTTATTAATTTTTCTTTTGATTTTATAAATTTATATAAAAAGAAAATGATTTCAGTTAATTTCATGGAATTATAGTAGTTTCTCGTTTCTATTTTGTCATGTCATGTATCTAGAAACAAATACATAAAACGTAATTATTCTCCAAAAAAGTAAAACTGAATTTCAAAAGCAATAGCGCACATAGAAGAAATAGTAAAACAAATAAAATTCAGATCTTATTGGAATGCCCATTCAGTAGCAAACTTATGAAAGACCTGAATAACATTTGTGACTAATTTTTAACATTTAATTTTCATTTTATTCAAATTCTTTTTAAAAAATTGCAGGTAATCTGTGATGGGAATAGTGACTAACCATGATTCCTTAACATTAAAAAATTAATGTCTGTGCCATTTGTCATGTGACTGGTACGCACCTGTCTGGCTGTAATAACCAGTGTCCCGGCCTCACTGCACTCACCGTGCCTCCCCCAGGGCCACATGGGCCAGTCCTGGGCCTCCCTGGAGCAGCTTCTGGGTGGACGGAGAGGTCAGCCTGTGAATGGGATAGATGTGTGCAGACACAGCTTGCACTGGAGACAGCAGGGAACGCAGAAAACTCAACCAGACACCGGATGAAGCCAGAAGCTTGAGCTGGGTCTTATAAATATAATATAAATTGCTCTTTCAGACAGGAGGGTCAAGGGAAGAGAGGCAGAGACGTGTGCGGAGGGAGACGGGCATTACGCACTGAAGAGCTTTTGGGTAAAGCGGACACAGTGAGAGAGTCCTTGGGGGAGAGAGGGCCGAGACCCAGCCCCAAGGCTTTGTCTGATACCCCAAGGCAGTGTTTCCCAAAGTGTGGTACGCGCACCCCCAGGGTTACGGGAAGAGTTTGGTGGGGGTACGCGTTTGGTGTGCTTAGCTGCGCCTAATTCTCCGTTCTCGTGAGCACTAGGGGTACTCAGCGTTACGGAAATTATAGAAGGGGTGCACATATGTCAGAAGTTTGGGAAACACTGCCCTAAGGAGTTTCACTCTAGCCTGCAGTTTCCAAAAAAGGTTGTTTTTTTTGGTTGTTTTTTTTTAATTTTTGCCCCATAGAAGGCATGCAGGTTGCTCCTTGGAGATGTGAGAAGAAATTATTAAAATGTCTGTTTGTATATTTGCAGTCCCATCATTTTTAATTTATATTTTTTAAATGGATAATATATAGAAATAATTAATAAAATATGCCTACTGTGGGGTGCATGCTCAGCACTGTATTCTGACAGAGATACATATTGGAAACAATTTGTTAACTACGGTTAAGGAAATGAACATGGAAGTCATCCAAAAGTCCTAAGCAGATCTGATTTGTAAATTGTATACACACGTACACGCACATGCACACACGCACGTGCACACACACACACAAATTTTTAAGAATTTAAATAAAATGAAAATTAAATGTTAAATGTAGGGAAATAACATAAAGGCCAGGGAACTTTCACAAGCGGAATAGAGCCCTGCAACCAGCACCCCTGACAAAGACCATCACCAGCAGCCAGGTGTCCCTGTGGGAGAGCTCCTGCCTGGGCCCACGGGCAGCTCAGTGGTTCTCTGAACCTCCCTGGTGTGTGTGCAGGATTCGCATTTGTGTACTTGATGTTTCCTCCTTTTGTGAAAGGTCTGGAGCTTCCTCCAGAATCTTAAAAGGGCATTTATGTCTCCGAAAGGAAAAGTCTCTCCTTGTGAAGTGAGAAGAGGTTTCAGAGCAGAACCTGAGAGGACTATTTGAGACACAAATCATAGTCCTCGTTGGTTCTGCTTTGCTTTTTTAACTCGAGGATTCTGTAGCCTTTAGTTATATAAACAGAAAGGGATATTCATTACTTGGTCTTTGAAAGGTATTGATGATAAACTTACACTACTCGCAATTACCAACCCTTGATGCAAGTGTTAAAACTGAATTTTATCAGCAGAGTCCCTTGACTAGTCTTTTTCGATTTCTAATTTATATCTTACAAATTGTTGTTTTTTTTTTAATAGATGACGGTCACTCATTCAGCAGTGTTCTGTATTATGGAAATGAAGCCACTCTTCTCATTTACGACCTGCTGTTCTTCTGTGTTGTGGACTTGGCCTGCCAGGACTTTATTTTAGCAGCCTTCCTTACGTATCTGCAACAGGAGGTGCAGGTTTATGTTTTTTTTCTGGGTTTCTTTTTTAAAAGAAAGTGTTGGAAGTAGACATGTTTATTTTCATAGCAGAAAATAATGACTGCACTAGGAATTTGTGAAGGTTCAGAATATGATTGACCCCACCCCCAAAATGAATACCATTTTCAACCACTGTCTTCTATACTCTGTCGAGTCCATGAAATCCTGGGGTCTTATGGAGGGCACAAATTACTGAGCACTTACATTTTTCCATATCCTAGTGCCAGATGTGAGCAGCAATTAGACCCCCATACACCCTCTGTGCCCAGATGCTAACATAATAAAAAGGCAAGCACTGAAGATCTAGCCCAGGGCCAGTTTAATTTAGATATTATAATTGATTTGCATATGTAGTGTTCTTTATATGTAGATTTTTATAATTCTGAATTGTTTTATTTTCCCTTCCAGGTTTTTAAATTTATTCGTAATATAGTAGGACAGAAGAATTTGGCATCCAAAACGTTGGTGGATCAAAGGTTTTTGATTTAATTTACTGAATAGATAACTTTAAAAACTCAATATAATCATAGCCAAAAAAGGTCATGATTATCAGGTTAGTTTGCCATATTTTTTAAAAACAAATTATTATATTTTGTATTTGTTTTTAACCTACAGAAAGATTTATTTTTATAATTTGTGGATACATAATTTGCTCTCAGAGCTTATAAGAAGATATAATGGGAAATACTGTGTTACCATTATATGTAGTATTTAATTCACCAACTCATAGATTAGACAGCACTGACAATGGGGCCAAAAAATCCAGATGTTGCTTTCAACGTAACACTTTTTTAATGATTATCAAAACGGTCCCCATCATTTGTTTCTAGATTATTTTTAAGCTTGGATTTGCCTGCAGTATCTCACATTGAAAAAATTATTTGACTTCCAGCCTAGTTTTTAGTTTAGTATTTTCTTGTTTTACATATTTTATGGTTAAATGAATGTTGAAAAACATTTTTAAGTTTACTTAGAAATTTAAAATTGTATATATTGCTGACTCAATTTGCCTCATCTTAATCGCTCACCCTGCTTGGCAGCGGACTAATTGACTGTTGGACTAATAGGCATCTCAAGACATGATACATTACATATTCATTCCATCATGTGTCTGTGTTATTAGGTCAATATACTCTTTTCATGAAATGTCATTTATCTTTATTAAGAAATAATATGTGATATTTTCCCCAATATAGTTTTTGAATACACTTTAAATTACTTAACATTTTTAAAGCACTGTCAGAATTTTGCTCTTCTATGTTTAACGATTGTAAATAACAAATAAATTGTTTATTTATCATGTTATGTTGACAAGGTGGTTTTACTGAAAGCAAACTTAGTCTTTATAAGACAGTAGGCTTATGGGGTTATATTTTTAAATAAAGAAACACTATTGGGATCCAAAATATACTTAATGTAAATTCTGAGTTATGTAGCTAATAATATTTTATTATATGACTTTTTTCATTAAACTTTTTGACAGTCTTTTTCATTTATACTGTATACTTGAAAGGTACCTTATATTTCAAGGATAATGATCATTAATCCCCAAATCAACATTTCTTACTGCCTTCTATGTTAATACTGTGTAAATACTCACATGTAATGCTATGTAAATATTGTTTATATTTTTGAATTAAAAGTATAGAATAAAATATTTGATGTTTCTATTTCCTGTTTAATTAATGTGTCTTTCATGAAATAGCATTTAGGGATAAATACAGCATATAGGGGCAGAGATCCCCAGCCATTGCAAAGTTGAATCTTACACATTTCCCTGAATCTTGAGAATTGTTGAAGAGAAAGAGGGAGGGTTAGTAAGTCAAGTATTTGAAACTCCAGTATCTGAAGGGTCACATTACAGGAATCCCTTTATAAAAGCTGCAGAGATAAATAAATATACTAGAACAGATTTTTAAAAACCACCTACACAGAAGCACATAAAAGAAATTTAACTCTTATTCCATATGTACAAAGTTAATATTAATGTGAATGTTTTTAAATGGAAATTTCGAAAAAATAGGATTAGTTGATCATCTGCTGATAAATTAAAACAGAGAAAAGACACTTAAAAATGATTCCACACTAGTTTTTAACAGAATTAACTTTTCATTTTGGTTAGGTAAGAAAAATGTTCAGATTTTCATACACTGTTGACTCCTTTGTTCACTTTGCCATAATTTAAATTGTATGGTCACATGACTACTTTTCCACTAGATTTATAATCTCTTGTCTATTTCTATAGTACCAACTCATTGTACTTTGCATCTATCTGTATTCCTAATTTTACTGATTACTAGAACCATTGCTAAGTCTCTTTATCCTATATAATAAAGAACTAATATGCTAATTAGACCCCACAGCAGAACCACCCACCGTCCTGACAACCTTTCGGACAAAGCCAGGGCTCCGAGGGGTGGCCGAGGCAGCCAGGGCTGCGAGGGCCAAGCCCCTAGCACGAATTTCAGGCATTGGGTTTCTAGTCATCCCCATTCACTAGAGCAGTGGTTTTCTGCTTTGTTGACTAATGAGTTTGCTGACCACTGATCCTAGGGGTTCTTTACAAGCTACTGTGCACCTTGTATCACCCCTAGAAATGCATAGGCCCCTAAAATAATTCTGCAGCTCAAGGATAAACAGGTGACACCGGAATTGAGTCTATAATGATCCACAGGTATATAGTCTGTGACAGGGTGGCATGCAGTGCAGTGAGGAAAGGATGGCTTTTCAATGGACATTTGAATATCACAATGGAAAAATCTCCACCCCACCCACTGTCACACAAAAGTCAACTTCAGGTCTACTGTAGATCTAAAATGTGAAAGGTTAAATGATAAAGCTTCTAGTAGAATGTATTTATGACATTGTATAGGACAAGATTTCTTAATCCCCCCCAAAAGGCCAATCTTATATGTATTGACTTTAGAAAGGAAGATCGAGAGCGAGAGAAACATCAACAGTGAGAAAGAATCATTGATCGGCTGCCTCCTGCACTCCCCCTACTGGGAATCAACCCTGCAACCCAGGCATGTGCCCTTGACCGGAACTGAGCCCGGGACCCTTCAGTCTGCAGGCTGATACTCTATCCACTGAGCCACACCAGCCAGGGCCAAAAGACCAATCTTAACGGAAAACATTAGTAAGTTGGAAGTTTACATTCTACATTAAATTTACACTTATGTGTATTTCACATTAGGTATAATTTTTCTATTTACATTGAAATTAGGAACTCTATTCATCAAAATATATCATCCTAAGAATAAAAAGATTAACCTCAATATGAGAAAGAAATATTTAAAAAACATCTGACAGCCGGGACCGGTTTGGCTCAATGGATAGAGCGTCGGCTTGGGGACTGAAGGGTCCCAGGTTCGATTCCGGTCAAGGGCATGTACCTTGGTTGTGGGCATATCCCCAGTAGGGGGTGTGCAAGGGGCAGCTGATCGATGACTCTCTCATCGATGTTTCTAACTCTCTATCTCTCTCCCTTCCTCTCTGTACAAAATCAATAAAATATATTTTTAAAAAAAATCTGACAAAGCTCTACCATTCAGAATAAATAATTCATATAATCAGGAAAAGATGACAAACTAAGAAAAATAGGCAAGAGGCTGAAGATACATCTCTCCATACAGGGTTTCCAAATGACAAATTAAGTGCATATAGTGCTTCGTAGGAGACTACAGCCTTTATATGAGAATACAAAATAAAATGAAATAGGTACCACTCACTACAAAACCATCAAAAGAGCTAGAATTTTAAAACTTAGAATACAAAGTATTGATAGGACGTCGATGGAGCAAATGAACTTTCCTGGTACATTTCTTATGTAAAGTGGGGTGTTCAGACTTAGTCTGTAAACTTTCCACAGGGCTATTGTGTAAATTCAAGACAAGAAGTTTGCGGGGCTTGATGGAAGCCATGGGACAGCAGATGGCAGCAGAGGGCGCACTAAGCTCTTCAGAAGGTTTTCCCGAGGGCGGTGAGCTCACAGGCCCTCAGAGCCCCGAGAACACAGTGCTCCTATCACTTCACTACCTGTCCCAGTCCTCAGGCTGTCCCCGCCCTTGTTCACCAGAGCACCGGGCAGCTCAGAGGATGGAGTGCACTGCTCCATGTGCGGTGTGGAGGCTTTTCAGCTCAGATTTGGGGACTGAATGCTAAAAAGAAAAATAAACTCTCATCTATCTCCCAGGGACAGGCTTATCACATCTCAGGGAAAACACAGAAAGAGCTGAGTAATGATTATGGAATCCCCTTTTCTCATTTAAATGCAACATACATTTACATTAAAACTTTAAAAAAAAAAACACAAAAAAAAGCGCGAACCATTATTCAGAGTACGTAATGCCTCTTTTGCAAATACCATCTCCCCAAATGGGACTCTGTGACTGTTTTCTTATATCAGGTGATACACATTACATCACATATGACCTAATATATATATATATATATATATATATATATATATATATATATCCCTAATATGCAAATCAGGTGATACACATTATATCACATATGACCTAATATATATATATATATATATATATATATATATATATATCCCTAATATGCAAATAGACCAAATAGTGGAACAAACGAACAACCAGTCACTATGATGTGTGCTGACCACCAGGGGGTGTGCACGGAACATGATGGACATGGCTGCAGTGGGATGGTGGAGCAGGTGAGTGAAGGTGCCAGACCAAGGTGGGGTGACAGTCACTGTTATCGGGGCAAGCCTAGTGGTTACTGAAAATTCTTTGCTCCTGTGCACTGCAATCCCACCTGGCACTCGCACCTGTGCCAGCGCTGCCCGCTCACATCCATAGCCGGCACCAGAGCCGCTGCTTGCACTTGCTGCCTGTGCCCAGCGCCGGTCCCAATCGCTCTCAGCACCATCAGTGGGTGCAAGTGATGGCTGCTGGCCTGATCACCCCTGAGGGATTCTCCACCCTCCCCCTGCTCCTGAGGGGCGATCGGGGCAGCAGCTGCCACTCACACACACAGATGGTGCCAGCCTCAATCACTTCGTACCAGCAGCGGCACTGGAGCCATCAGCACGTGGAAAGGCGGTGGAAGGAGCAGGGCAGACAGGAAATAGGGGTAGGGGGCATGGCAGAAGGGGCCGGAAATGGAGGATGGGCCAAGATCCACCTTTGTACCACCAGGCCTTGCGGCCCATAGCTTCTTTCAAGGTGCGCCAATTTGAGCACTGGGCCCTCAGTGTTATATATTCATTTTATGTGGCCACTTTAAACCTTGCCAAAGGCAATATGGTTTCAAAGACCGTGAAGCCCACTTTCTTCTCTTCGGTTCTGCTTATTTTATTCTAAACGAGGCTACCATATCAAGCAAGATTACCAGAAATGTTTTCCACATGTATAAGTTTGTATTAATATGTGTTTTTTACCCCATTTTTTTATATAATATTTGTATACTTTTAAATGCTATTATGCTATTAGTTTTCTAATCTACACCTCTTATAT